TATGTATCATACACATACGCAGGAAACAGCTATGACCATCTCGAGCAGCTGAAGCTCCAATGTGGTGGAATTCTGCACAAAGTTCAAAGGCGCATCCCTTTTTCCAGAAAAGATATCTCGCCACGCGATGTATTGAAATGCATTTACAGTTATGTCGCGAAATGCTTTGAAATACGTTTCGCAACGCACATGCGTTGAATTTCGAGGGCGCGGAAATGCATTTCAATACATATTTTCGCTACATGAATAACCCATAAAAACGCTTAAAAAACTGATTTTTGACCTCAAAAATCTCTCTAACCATGCTCAGAATCCGGTTTCAGCGAAAAACAATCCAATTGCAAAATTTTACAGTCGTTTTCAGACTGCATCGCGTGCAAATGATGCTCCCAAGAGATTCCCTGTTTTCCCAGCGAGTCTCGAAGCGTTTTGATCTCTTTTCGGGTCATTTTTGAGCGCAATTCTTGGAGGGCCTTCATTTTAGCTGGAAATTAGGAATTTTTGGGGGAAAACGATTTGTTTAAAAGATTTGAATGGTGGAAAGTCGATTGTTTGCATAATCTCAAGCAGGAAATTCATGTGAATTTGTTAAAAATTCAAAAATCCTAAAAATACAAAATTTCTATCAAAAACTCAATTTTCAGGAATTCAAGATGATTTCTGACTGATTTAACCTTGAAATGTTGATTTTTTGCATTAAAAATGCATGAAAATGACCTCTTTATCATGAAAATTCGCCTTAAAAAGCACAGAAAACCGATAATTCGATTTTTCGAAAATTTCGGAGAATTTTCTACATTTTTGAGAGAGAAAAAAGTCGATTTTCTGCATAATTTTAACCTGGAAATTCAATTAAATATATCAAAAATCGTTCAAACCTTTTGCTGAAATAGCGAACTGAAAGAAAAAAACGGAAAAAGTTTCATTCGATTTTAGCAGTAAAAAACTCGATTTTCAGCATCAAACAATGATTTCTGACTAATTCAGCTTGAACTTTTTGATTTTTTACATTAGAAATTCATGAAAAAAAGCCTCGAAAACCGAAAATTGGAAAAAAAAATCGACTTTTTTTCAAAATTTCGGCGAAATTTCTATATTTTTGACAGAGACAAGCCTAGAATTTCAAGTAGAGTTCATTAAAAACCATCTTAACAATGCTAAATATTTGAATACAAATTTTGCCATTAAAAACTTGATTTTCAGCATTTAAATATAATTTATAACTAATTTGACATCGAAAAATTGATATTTTACATCAAAATTACATAAAAATGACATCGTTATTATGAAAATCCGCTTCAAAATCGCTTGAAAATCGAAAATCGCCGAAAAAAAAGAAGGCACGAGAAGTGCGCCAGTCTTGCGCACTTCTCGTGCCTTGGCGCACCTGCCGTGCATTCGTCGTATTTACACACAAAATCAATTCAATTATTATTATCCATGACAGAAAACGACAAAAAATCGTCGTATTTTTCTAATGGCGACTTTGAAAAAGTCGCCGCTGATATTATTAGTAGTCCTAGGCGACTCAAACATTCAGGTAAAATTACATATTCAGCTTAGAAACAAACGAAACGTTTTGAATTGAAATTTCGATTTATCTATGACAAGAAATTGGCCCAACAACTGGATTATATGTAAAAAAGCAGAAAAAAAGTGGAAGAAAAACCATGAGAATCGGTTTTCAAAGTTTAAAAAAAATTTAAACGAAAATTATATATTTGTAAATTTATAATTAAAAAACAAGTTTTCTAATTTAGAATAAAAACTCTGATAATTAACAGTTTCTGGAAATACCAAACTATCAAACTTCCAAACGTTTGGATTCTCAGATTATTTGAGTTTTCATGAATTTCAGATTTTTGGAATTTTCGGAAAAATTGAATTCCTTGGAATGTTTGATTTAATAACATTTTGGGGTTTACCGATTTCTGAAATTTCGAAATACTGACTTTTGAAATTTTGAAAATTTTTGAATTTTCACAATTTCAGAATTTCTAAATTTTTTGATATTCTTAATTTCATAATTTTGAAAAAATATAAACCTTTGAATTCCTAAACTTCTAATTTTCTGTATTTTTTAATTTCTGAATCTGAACGTCGGAATTCTGAACGTCGGAATTTCCGAATTTCTGAATTTCTGAATTTCTGAAATCAGACAATTTCAGAAATTCAAAAATTCGAAAATTAGGGGTCCAGCTTTTCTGAATCTCGTAATTTTCAAATTCTGACTATTAGAATTTCGGAATCTCTAAATTTGAAATTAGTTTAACTTCTTAATTGATTTTCCTGGATAATCTAAATTCTTTGATCCCAAGACTTCAAATTTTCCATTATTGACTAGGGAACTATCTGAGCATGATTCCAAGTTACACTTCATGACCTATATCATTAGAAAGCCCATAAAATTCTGATTCTGAATATGTTTTCTGTTTTTGCGAAACGGCGGTTATAGGTCACGAAGTGTAACTCGAAGACGACTCCAGATAGTTCCCTAGTGAGTTTCAAAACTATCCAATTCTCTGTATTTCAAAGATTTGGAAAGTTACAGAAACTTGAATTTTCGAAGTTTCAATTTTCTGGAAATTTCACAATACTTGAATTTTCAAAAATGCCTAATTTTCTAAAATCTCCCGTTTTTGCAGTTTTTAATTTTTCAAAATTTCTGGAATTTCCCAGTGTTTTTTTTTGAAATTCAGGCTTTTCGATTATCAAAATTCTGAAATTTTGAAATTTCCAGTTTTCAAGATATTCGATTTGTTTGTAAAATTTTATAATTTCCGAAATTTCTGGAATTTTCTGAAATATTCAAATATTTCAAAGTTGCAAAAACAAAATATGAAAAGTTGCAATAAATCTTTTTGTCGAAATTTCTAAATTTTCTTGTTGAAAATTGCAATTTTCTAGCTTTTAAACCCAAACGTGTCATCTGAAAGTGTCGAAATCGAGTTCTCCACGCTTTTTTACCCCTGAACACCGATTTTGAGCCCCCTAGATCAATTTGTCGTGAGATTAGGTGTCTAGTCTGCAAACACTTTGATCTACTCGGTGTTTGCAGAAAATGCACCATAATTTACGACAAATTGAGCTAGAGAGCTGAAAATTTGTGTCCAGGGGTAAAAAAACATGGGGAACTTGATGTTGACAGTTTCAGAATAGAAATTCGATTTTGAGACCCTGAAAATGGCTGTTTTGTAGCGTTCAAACCAAAAATTTTTATCTGAAAATGTCGAAATCGAGTTCTCCACGCTTTTTTACCTCTACAAACCAATTTTCAGCTCTTTAGCTCAATTTGTCGTAAAATTAGGTGTCTGGTCTGCAAATCTATTCGGTGTTTGCAGACAATGCACCATATTTCACGACAAATTGATCTAGAGAGCTGAAAATTGGTTTTTAAGGGGAAAAAGGCATGGGGAACTCAATTTTCCTTGTTTCAAATAACGAAGTTGAGCGGAAAATACTGAAAATTGCATTTTTTAACTTTTCAAACTTCCAGCCGAAGATTCTCTGTTCAAAATTACTTCCAAACAACAGGAATACTATACCAAATGCTTTCGACACCTAATAAAAACCACCCAAGGCGTTCTGGACCTTTCTGGAGCTCTCCATGGAGCCGACCAAAGGATCGTAGCCTTCTTCCGTCGTTCCTCCTTGGATATGACGTCACTTTCAAAGATATGGTCCCTGGCAGATGTGAATGAAGATGGATGGTTGGATTTACAGGAATTCTCAATTGCCATGCATCTAGTGGTGCTGAAAGTCAAAGGAGAGGTTCCGATTCCTGATGTTTTGCCGGTTTTTGCCAGACCCCCTATCACCGAACCACGTGGTGATAGTCGGGTAGCTGATGTTAGTCCGACTGTAAGCGTTACCAGGAGTGAGGGGAAGAATGTAAGTTTTGAAATTCGAATTTGGGTCATTGAGAGCTTCAAAATGAGTATAAATATGACTATTTTGATGGAATATGAGCAACGTTACAGTAGTTCAAAAATTTCGAGACAGCAAAAATTCTGTAAATGGACAATAACTAGATCAAATTTCGATTTTTTTCAACATGAAAATGGTTTTTCTAGATTGACCATATTGAGAGCTTCAAAATGAGTATAAACATGACTATATTTGAACACTTTTGATTTTTTCGAAATTTTCGTGGTGGGACCCAAAAAATGTAATATTACCGTAACTCGGTTGTTTTCGACAAAACTGAAAAATTCTTGAAGATTTTGGTTTTTGCTTGAAACAAGCTTTAAAACGAGTATAATCATGACCTACTTTCCATGAATTTCATTTTTGGGGACCCACTATGCGCCTTTAAAGTCGAAAAGGCTCTAAATTCAAAATAGGCGGGGCCTAGTCGTGTTTAGGCTCATTTTGAAGCTCTCAAAGTGGCAAATTCAAAATTAGAAATATCGAGGTTCAAAAATCAAAATTGAAAAAGTTACGGTAGTTTAAGTTTGTTTTGTATTTTAAATTTTCAGTGGACCAATCAACCGATCATCAAACAATTCTCCAACACACCACCACTTCTGGTTGATAGCAGACCAACAGCTATCAAGCATTCAGCGCTACTCGCGCTAAAAAGTCCATTGGGTAAGTCTGAAATTTTGAAAAAAAATTTTGACTGAAAAAAAAGTGGAATTTCGAAAAATCATCATATCTCGGCTAGTTTTGCTCCAATTTTTGTGAAAGTTACATTTTTGAATTTTTCTTGTTTGGAGCTTCAAAATGAGTATACTCATGACCAGGTTCTGAAAATTTCAATGTTTTGGGTCCCACCACGAAAAGTGTAAAAGTGCAATAATTCGGTTGGTTTTGGTCCTTTTTTGAAAATTTTTGAATTTTTGGGATCCTCAAAAAATTTCCAATCGTATCAAATTAATTTTTCAATTCCAGGACCCCCACCGGAGCCACCAGCCCGTCCCCAACAACGTGGCCATAATCGAAGTGCAAGTTTGGACCTAAAACTGATTTCACTGAACAAAAATTCTGGAAAATTGTCTGAAGCTCCGCCCACAACGCTGTCTCTCTGGTCATCTCATTCGGATCCCACCACACATCCTTCTTCAATTAGTACGACAACCACGACCACGACATTTGCCTCTTTTCCGGGTAGGATATTTTTAAAATTTTGAAAAAAAAAGTTTTTCAACTTCAAAATACCATAACTCAAATAATTTTGTAGCAAATCTAATTAAATTTAAAAATTTGAACTTGTCTTGTTTAGAGCTTCAAAATGAGCCTAAACACGGCTAGGCTCCGCCCATTTTGAATTTAGAGCCTTTTTGACTTTAAAGGCGCATAGTGGGTCCCCAAAAATGAAATTCATGGAAAGTAGGCCATGATTATACTCGTTTTAAAGCTTGTTTCAAGCAAAATGCAAATCTCCAGAAACTTTTCAGTTTTGTCAAAAAACAAACGAGTTACGGTAGTATTACATTTTTTTGGTCCCACCACGAAAGCCCTAAAAATTAATGAACTTGAAACCTAGTCATGATTATACTCATTTTGAAGCTCCCAATATGGCAAATCTGAAAATATAAATTTCATTTTGAAAAACTGAAATTCCAAGAAGTTATAGTCAATTTGCAGCATCTTGTAAGTATATCCAAGATAAATTAAAAACAAATTTTTTTTTTTCAAAATTTCGAAATTTTGAACTTCCAGCCACACCCGACAGTATCCCACCACCGATTCCACAAAGAATCACGCCGTCTCCACTACCGGTAAGTGAAATGATTTTCTTTGGAATTCTTAATTTTCAGAAACATTTGAAAATTCAGAAATTTAGAAATTCAGAAATTCAGGAATTCGGAAATTCAGAATTTCAGAAATTCAACAAATCAAAAATTCAGAAATTCAGAAATTCAGAAATTCAGAAATTCAGAAAACCAAAAATTCAGAAATTCAGAAATTCAAAAGTTCAAAAATTCAAAAATTCAAAAATTCAAAAATTCAGAAATTCAGAAATTTAGAAATTCAGAAATTCAGGAATTCGGAAATTCAGAATTTCAGAAATTCAACAAATCAAAAATTCAGAAATTCAGAAATTCAGAAATTCAGAAATTCAGAAAACCAAAAATTCAGAAATTCAGAAATTCAAAAGTTCAAAAATTCAAAAATTCAAAAATTCAAAAATTCAGAAATTCAGAAATTTAGAAATTCAGAAATTCAGGAATTCGGAAATTCAGAATTTCAGAAATTCAACAAATCAAAAATTCAGAAATTCAGAAATTCAGAAATTCAGAAATTCAGAAATTCAAAAATTCAGAAATTCAGAAATTCAGAAAACCAAAAATTCAGAAATTCAGAAATTCAAAAGTTCAAAAATTCAAAAATTCAAAAATTCAAAAATTCAAAAATTCAGAAATTCAGGAATTCAAAAATTCAAAAAATCAAAGATTCTGAAATTCAGAAATTCAGAAATTCAAAAAATCAAAAATTCAAAGATTCTGAAATTCAGAAATTCAGAAATTCGGAAATTCAAAAATTCAGAAATTCAGAAATTCAAAAATTCAGAAATTCAAAAATTCAGAAATTCAAAAATTCTAATAAGAAATTCAGAAATTCAGAAATTCAGAAATTCAAAAATTCAGAAATTCAGAAATTCAGAAATTCTAAAATTCAGAAATTCAGAAATTCAAAAATTCAAAGATTCTGAAATTCAGAAATTCAAAAATTCAGAAATTCAGAAATTCAGAAATTCAAAAATTCAGAAATTCAGAAATTCGGAAATTCAGAAATTCAGAAATTCAAAAATTCAGAAATTCAGAAATTCAAAAGTTCAAAAATTCAAAAATTCAAAAATTCAAAAATTCAGAAATTCAGAAATTCAGAAATTCAGAAAACCAAAAATTCAGAAATTCAGAAATTCAAAAGTTCAAAAATTCAAAAATTCAAAAATTCAAAAATTCAGAAATTCAGAAATTCAAAAATTCAAAAAATCAAAGATTCTGAAATTCAGAAATTCAAAAGTTCAAAAATTCAAAAATTCAAAAATTCAAAAATTCAGAAATTCAGAAATTCAAAAATTCAAAAAATCAAAGATTCTGAAATTCAGAAATTCAGAAATTCAAAAATTCAAAAATTCAAAAATTCAGAAATTCAGAAATTCAGAAATTCAGAAAACCAAAAATTCAGAAATTCAGAAATTCAAAAGTTCAAAAATTCAAAAATTCAAAAATTCAAAAATTCAGAAATTCAGAAATTCAAAAATTCAAAAAATCAAAGATTCTGAAATTCAGAAATTCAAAAGTTCAAAAATTCAAAAATTCAAAAATTCAAAAATTCAGAAATTCAGAAATTCAAAAATTCAAAAAATCAAAGATTCTGAAATTCAGAAATTCAGAAATTCAAAAAATCAAAAATTCAAAGATTCTGAAATTCAGAAATTCAGAAATTCGGAAATTCAAAAATTCAGAAATTCAGAAATTCAAAAATTCAGAAATTCAAAAATTCAGAAATTCAAAAATTCTAATAAGAAATTCAGAAATTCAGAAATTCAGAAATTCAAAAATTCAGAAATTCAGAAATTCAGAAATTCTAAAATTCAGAAATTCAGAAATTCAAAAATTCAAAGATTCTGAAATTCAGAAATTCAAAAATTCAGAAATTCAGAAATTCAGAAATTCAAAAATTCAGAAATTCAGAAATTCGGAAATTCAGAAATTCAGAAATTCAAAAATTCAGAAATTCAGAATTTCAAAAATTCAAAAAATCAAAAATTCAAAAATTCAGAAATTCTAAAATTCTAAAATTCAGAAATTCTAAAATTCCTTTTTAAAAAGTTTCTAAAATTTTTTTTCATTTTCAGATTTTTGCTGAAAATTCAAAAAATTGACTCTGAGATTTTTGGAATTTTAAAAACACGAAAAAAAAATAAAAATTGACAGTTGATTTGAAATTTAAAAAAAAACTAATTTTTTTCAAAAAAAGTTTTTAACATTTTTTTCGATTTTTAGGCGTTCTGACCCAAATTTTTCCCTTTTTCATAAAAAAAATAATTTTCTCAATTTTCAGAGAGTAATCGAGAAGAGAAACGCGCCATCTCAACCACAGACTCCTCAACCCAAACATCGGGAATTTATTATTCTGAGGAAGAAGTAAAATCATTTTTCTCAAAAATCGGAGATCAAATCGATGATTTATTGGGTGATGAGCTGATTGCAACAGAAGGAGAAGGAATCGAGAGATTCAATAAAAGATGTGCGGCCCTTAGAATTCAGAATTCGGAGCTCGAAGCGGAACGAGCTCGACTGGCTCAAGTTAGAATCCAACTGGAAATTCGAGTTCAAGAATTTGAAGAGCGGTCCAAGACGGCTTGTTCTTCATCTACTCTGTAATTCGGTTTTGTTCTGAAAATGTTGAAAAAATCATAAAACCTGTAATAGAAGGGCCCCCTTGAATTTTAACTTTGAGCCAATTTATCTCAGTTCCTGATGAAGATATAAAAAATTTGTCAACTGATAAAATGTATAGAATATTATGATAAACAGTTTATCAGCTGACAAGTTTTTGATATCTTCATCAGGAATCGAGATAAGGGCCCTTCTATTACAGGTTTCATTTCATTTTCAAATTTCCCGCCCAATCTATCTTCATAATCTAAACTGTGATATCTCTCTGGTCCATTCGGATTACTGTACTTGCATATTTTCCCTTTTTCGAAAAATTATTTTTTTTGCAATAATAATAATCCCAAATTGTGATATTTAATTTTTTTAATTTGTCTTTAATTGCAATAAATTTTTAAATAGTAAATTTCAAAATTTAAAAAAAAATTCGAAATTTTGAAAATCTACAGTTTCCCAGTCTTCAAAGATTACGGTAGATTTTGAATTTTGGGGAAAAACTCGCTAGTAATGCGTCAAGGCACCAAAAACGCGCCAAGGCACCAAAAATGCGCCAACACACAAAAGATGCGTCTAGACACCGGAAATACGCAGAAGCACGAAAATACGCAAAGACACCAAAAACAAGCTTCTAGAAACGCGTCAAGACACCGAAAATGCGTCAAGGCACGGAAAATGCGTCAAGGCACGGAAAATGCGTCAAGGCACGGAAAATGCTCCAAGAGCACAATCAATGCGCCAAAGAAACTAAAATGGGCCAAGACACCGAAAACGCGTCGATGCACCAAAAACACGCCGAAGATCGAAAATTGCGCAATGTCACAAGAAATGCGTCAAGTCACTAAAAACGCGCCAAGGGCACAATCAATGCGTCAAGGCACCAAAAGTGTGTCAAGGAACAAAAAATACGCAAAAATCCACAGTAATTCAGGTATCAAAGTAAAATTGAGAGTTGACACGTTTTTGGTGCCTTGGCGCATTTCTAGTGAATTCAAAAACTTCCGTGACCGAAAATTGTTTTTCGAAAATTTTCAAATTTTCAAAAATTCAATTTTCCCACGCAAATCTTTTTAAAATTCATTTTCTACTCGATCTCTCTCTCTCTCTCTCTATTCTCAACTCACAATGACCGGACAATCGAAGGTTTTTTCTTGCTGACGCGTTTCCCGTGCCTTGGCGCTTTTTCCGTGCAACTTGCACCGAAAATGCGCCAAGGCACCAAAAGTGCGTCAGCAACAAAATTTTTTTTCAGAAAAACTCTCACATCTGGGATAGCAACTCAGTGACCGTCGCTCGTAATCCCTACTATTTTAATGGTAAATTTGAAAATTTGAATTTTCAAAAATTCAAATTTTGGCGCCAAATTTTTTTTCGAACTTTTAGTTTTTTTCAGCATTCACACACGACACAACTGGCTCCAGCATCAGCGTTCTAGAATATTCACGTGAGGAAAGGATTACTGTAGTTTCGCCACGCCCCAAACTGTGTACGGTGAAGGTGAATAATTATTTCCCAAAAAATCTCTACTAGTCTTCAAAACAATGTCTTTCGTAACTACGCTCATTACTCGGGTCCCGTCGAAAAAAGTCCTAAAAATCAATAAATCGACTTTTAGAAAAATCGATAATCGATTTTTTCAGCATTCAAAACAACGTGCCGAAAAACCGCGAGATGTCTACGTGACGAATCAAGAACGCCATCAGGCGCCGTCGCCGATGCAACTTGCCACGTGGAAATTCTCGCCGCTTCGCAAGGAAAAGGTACGGTAGACGGGAAATGTGTCAAGACACCAGAAATGCGTCAAGACACGAAAAATTTGTCTAAGATCCAAAAGCGTGTCAAGGTGCCAAAAATACGTTAATGACGTGAATAATGCGTCAAGTCACCAAAAATGCGCCAAAGATCGAAAATTTCGAAAAGTCACAAGAAATGCGCCAAGGCACCAGAAATGTGCCAAGACAGGAAAAATGAGTCAAGGCACTGAAAATGCGCCAAGAGCACCTAAAATGCGTCAAGTTACTAGAAATTGCGTCAAGGCACAAAAAGTGCGCCAAAAAACCAAGAAGTGTCAAGACACCAAAATTGCGCCAAGGCACGAAAAATGCGCCAAAGATCGAAAAATGCGTCAGGTGCGCCGAAATTGGGCCAAGAGGCTTAAAATGAGCAAAGGCACGAAAAGGGCGCCATGAGCCCAAAATTAGGTCAAGGGCACCAAACATGCGCCAAGGCACCTAAAATGCGCCAAGGAACCGAAAATGCGTCAAAGCACGGAAAATGCGCCAAGGCACGAAAAACACGCAAACTCTCATTGTTTACAGTACAATGCTCACTCGGTGGCTGACGCCTTTGACGCCTACCAACACCGTCTGCAGGTCAAAATGTGGGCGGAGCCAAAGTGGGCGGAGCCAAAAATCACAACCACTCGGATCCATCAACGGACCCATACGCACAAGAAACACGTCACCATCGACGGAACGGCAACTGAAATAATCGACAATTCGCGGTGAGTTTTTTTGCTGGCGCACTTTCGGTGAGTTGGCTCATTTTTCGTGCGAGTGGGAGAAAATTGTCATGGAAGCCTTGTTGACGCATTTTTTGTGACTTGGCGTATATCTCGTGAGTTGACGCATTTCTCGTGCATTTTTCAGCCCAAAACTGGCAAAAATCCGTTTGACGAATCGACGAAACGACGAGGTCAAAATTGACAATGTCACGACGGCGAAGACGATTTCAGAAGAAGAGATTCATGATGAGAATGACGTCGTCAGAATTCAGAAGACGTCGTCAAAACTTCAGAAGCCCGGATTCTATGGGACCATTGAAGCCGAACTGTGTGCTGAGCAAGCGGCCGCCCATTTATCGTTGGCTGTGGAAAATTTGGAACGTCTTCAGTTTGTCACCGACGCCGTCTATCCTCAGACGGCACAGCATTTGGTAGGGATTGCTCAGCTTAAAATTTTTAAGTTTTGAAAAAAAAATTTTTTTGAAATTTTTTTTTTTCTAGAAACGCCTTCACGAAATTGACGACGACGTGAAAGATTTCAATAGTCAGATGAGAAGACGTCGTGTGAAAGTTCCCACGTCGGCCGGCACGACTAAACAGATTGCTCATTTTATCATCAATGAGAATAACTAACAATTACTGATTTTTATTGATTGTATAAATGAATGGCTAGAATCAGAGGATTCTCAAAGTTTTGCACATTTTCAAGATCAGCATAAAAAGAGCTTCGAAACGAGTATAATCATGACCTACTTTCCATGAATTTCATTTTTCCGACCCCCTATGCGCCTTTAAAGTCAAAAAGTCTCAAAATTCGAAATGGGCGGAGCATAGTCATGATTATACTCATTTTGAAGCTCTTGACAAGACAAACACAATTCCGCAAAAATTTTTCAGATTTGGTCAAAAAATAGCCGAGTTACGGTATTTTTACACTTTTAGGTCCCACCACGAAAATCCAAAAAATCGAAGTAATTGAGAGATAGTCATGTTGATACTCATTTTGAAGCTATTTTTGTGACAAATGCAACAGTACAAATATTATGTTCTAAAACCGAATTTTTACAAAGTCATGGTCATTTTACAACATGCTCATTTTTCGCCTCAAATTTTCAAACTACTGTAACTCTGCTATTTTTTGACCAAGCTAAAAAATCTTTGCAGATTCTAATTTAGCTTGTTTAGAGCTTCAAAATGACTATAAACACGGCTACATATAAAACGTTTTGAAATTTTCCATTTTTTGGGTCCCACCACGAAAAATTCAAAAAATCAAAATTTTGCAGTTATAGTTGTGTTTAGGCTGGTTTATTCAAAATTAATGATAAAGTTTCTGTTATTTATCAATAAAAATTTGGATCACAAGTCCTCAAAATACTCCATATGCGAAAATTCTACAGTATGCACATCGAAAATTTTGGCCAACTGCAATTTCGATCGAATTTGGATGACTTCTTCCTGCAAAAATGTTTTAATTGCTTAGTTTTAATTTTTAATTGACTCAACCTTAATTTTCCGATTGATCTTCAAAATTTGAGCCAATCTGAGTGCATATCTGGGTGTTTCTTTTTGCTCTACATAGTAATTATGTAGGGCATTTCCCAATATTTCCATTAATTTCTCACAAATTTCTTCAATTTCCCCTCGAAACCGTCTGGAGGCGTGGCTTAACGCCAAATCCGCCAACATATAGGATAACTCCACGTCATCTGGATTCAGTTCCATCATCTCTTGGGCGTACTTGTAGGTGATATTGTTTTCAGACGTGTCGTAGAAGCTGAAATTTCTTTTGGAGAGTTAGCAATGATTATACTCATTTTTAATCTCTAAAAAAGTTAAATTCAAAACTGCAAAAATTTTCAGATTTGGTAAAAGAATAGCTGAGTTACGGTAGTTTTTCACTTTTTGGGTCCCACCACGAAAATTCGAAAACTTTCAAACATAGTCATGATTATACTCATTTTGAAGCTCTAAAAAAGCTAAATTCAAATCTGCCACAATTTTCACATTCAGCCGAAAAATGACTAAGTTACGGTAGTTTTACACTTTTTGGGTCCCACCACGAAAATTCGAAAACTTTCAAACATAGTCATGATTATACTCATTTTGAAGCTCTAAAAAAGCTAAATTCAAATCTGCTACAATTTTCACATTCGGCCGAAAAATGACTAAGTTACGGTAGTTTGTCACTTTTCGGGTCCCACCACGAAAATTCGAAAACTTTCAAACATAGTCATGATTATACTCATTTTGAAGCTCTATACAAGCAAAACTTGCATTCATCAAAATTATTAATTTTTCAACATAATTCGACAGAGATACGGTATTTTTTAGCACCGAAATTCGAAAATTTTTAAGCCTGTCCAGGATCAGAGTCATTTTGAAGCTCTCCATCCCCCAAATTCAAATTTTCAACTTACAATTGCATTTCTTGATTGCTCAGCCTTGCACACCATGTTAAATCCAACTCCATATTCTTCATATCCATGACAGAGTATTGACTTCCACTGCTAAGCATCACAAAATCACCAATTAGCTTTTTCTGGCGGCCCATTGCTGTGATTGCCAGCTTGTCTAGCTTGGACCACACATGCCAGACAGATGCCAAGATTTTTAGCTAAAAATTGAAAAATTCAGAAAATTCGGAACATTTTGAGGTAAAAAAAAATCGGTAGAAAACTGATCAAGTTAAGAATTTTTAAAATTTTGAAAAAAAACATTTTTTTTTGAAATTTTTTAAAAATTTTCTAAAATTCGTAACTTTATCAATTTTCAACCAATTTTCAAGTTTTTAGTCTCAAAACGTTCAGCATTTTCTATATTTTTAGAAAATCTAAAAATTCACCTGCTGCTCTTTTTCCAACTTTTGAAATTCATCAAAATCGTAAACCATTTGGCGGCTCTCAAAAAGTCACTCTCCCAAAATGCCATTGTTTCGGATTCTCCGAAATTTCGAATCATTTTAAGATTTAAATTGTGATTTTCTTGTAATTTTCGACGTCCAATCGCCATTTTTTGAAGGGAATTGGTGGAGAAAATTGGGGTTTCAGAGCCCTGGAATTTCAGAAATTTTGGCTGAAAATGATTTTTTTTTAAATACAAAAATTCCTACCTCCCATAAAATCGCCTTTCCTTTTTCCACAAATCCATCACACTCAATGATTCGTTCGTCAAATTTGATTTTCAGCAATTTTGGAGCACAAGAAATTACAAAATGCGGTCGACCGACCAGCTCTTCGATTGTCTGAAAATATGAAAAAAGTTAGTCAAAAGTTTCAAAACACCGTATCTCGGCCAATTTTGGTCTGAACGGAAAATTTTTTAAAAATCCATATTTCCCTTGTTTTGAGCTTCAAAATGAGTACAATCATGACTAGGTTTCGAAATTTTCGTTTTTACGATTTTCGTGGTGGGACCCGAAAAGTGTCAAACTACCGTAACTCAGCGAGTTTTCGAACAAATCTAAGAATTTTTTGCAGATTTGAATTTAGCTTGTTTTCAGCTTCAAAATGAGTACAATCATGACTAGGTTTCGAACTTTTCGTTTTTACGATTTTCGTGGTGGGACCCGAAAAGTGTCAAACTACCGTAACTCAGCGAGTTTTCGAACAAATCTAAGAATTTTTTGCAGATTTGAATTTAGCTTGTTTTCAGCTTCAAAATGAGTATAATCATGACTAACTTTCAAAAAAAAAATTTTTTTACGATTTTCGTGGTGGGACCCGAAAAGTGTAAAACTACCGTAACTCAGCGATTTTTATATCAAATCGAAAAATTTTTGCAGATTTGAATTTTGCTTGTTTCGATCTTCAAAATGACTCTAATCATGACTAGGTTTCGAAATTTTGATTTTTTGCCCATTCCTTGCCCATCCCTTGCCCATTCTCCAAATTTCGCTCGTTGTAGGCAATATGGGTGCCAAAATTTCAAAAAAAAAACTCACTAATGGCAAATTTTTGTTCAAAAATTGCACTTTTATAGAATCTCTGTCGAATTGGAAATCTGGAAATAATTTTTTTTGGGTCCAAAAAAAATTTGGGCTTTAAAAAAATTTTTTCGAAAAATTTTTTTTTTCAAAAATAAGCGAAAATCCTACTTCTCATGCTCATTCCAACTTGAAAACACTTCTCCAATCGGCACTTTTTACACTGAAACCATCCGTTTCCATTGAATAGTTTACAATTATTGCTCTTTTTGCATTTTAAGACTTGCACGGGTTGGGTAGACGTTCGGCTAGAAATAATCATTTTTAAGTTAGATAATTCAAAAAATCTGGAAAATTCTAAAACTTTTGGGGCAAAAATCACAAAAAACCGTTGGAAATTAACCAAATTATGATTATTTAAAATTTTGATTTCAAAAATTCAAAAATTCCAAACTTTCTTAGTTTTTGCCGGATTTCTGAAATTCTTTTTTTGTTTTATTTAAAATTTTCAGATTTTTCAGATTTTTCAAAAAAAAAAACACCGAAAAAATGCTGCACACGCTCTACAACTAAATGCTCCAAAGTGCTTTCCCTTGGCTGGTAGATCACAGACGGCGCATAATTTTAAGGATGAGCAATGTGGGGATTCTGGAGATGACGTGGCAGAATCCGAAGATGAAGAAGAAGATGACGGGAGGCTGAGCATCTAAAAAAAAATTGTCCAAAAATCATGAAAAATGGTTCAAATTTTGGAAAAAATCGTCATAGCGAAATTATGGGCAACTGAAGGGCAAGTACAGGACAAAACAGTTCCAGAAAACAATTTCACAACAATTATTTTTTTTTCTCAAAAATAAGACGCCTAGAGGTAATACTCAACATAGTGACACTCAAAGACTATCGGCAAACAATAGGAGGTGAGTGAGAGAGTACAGAAACATGAGAGAGTGGTTAGAGAGAAAAAAGGGAAACGAGAAAATGTGTAGTTTGTAGTCTATGATGAGGTGCATGGGGCTGGCTAGAATGTATCTTTAAGACAGAGAACAGAGACTTTTTTATTGATTTTTCAAGTGTTTGACCCAGGGACCCAGGGACCCAGGGACCCCGGGGTCCCGGGCTTCTGGTCCCGGGCTCCTTTCTCTGGAGCCCAGAGAAAGAGAGAACTGATTTTTCTCTCCACTTCTGGACCCAGGGTCCCATCTCTGACAAATCTGGAATTCTAAAAATTTCTGAAATCCAGAAGTCTTTGAAAATCTAAAGTTCGAAAATTCGAAAAGGCAAAATAATAGATATGTCTAAAAATTCAAAAAATTATATATTTTTTACAAATTCTTACACCAAAAATCACAGAAAAAATCTGTCTATTCTTTGATTTCTACCTTCTTTTTTTCTCTAATTCTCTAATTCGTTTTTTGTTTGATCAAACAAAAAAAAAAGAATGATTCGATTTCTCTGCGTCTCTCAATTTTTCATGATCTATAATTTTTTGTGCGTGTCTGCACTTTTCTCTTTTTTTTCGATTTTTCATGGATTTAGGTCCATTTTTCATGATTTTAAAGCCATTTTTTATGATTTCTGGTCCACTTTTCTTAGTTAAAAAAATTTTTTTTTTGCAGATGGAAAACAATTCTCCCAGCTCGAGTTCCGAAAAATGCTCCGTTTGCCCGGAGCCTGGAAATGGCATGCATTTTGGTGCATACACTTGTAGAGCGTGTGCAGCGTTTTTTAGGTAAGAAATGGTATAAAATTAGTGGAAAATTTGAAAAATTCAGAAAATTTTGATCTAGAAGTTAATTTAAAAAATTTCTAAATTTCTGAATTTCCGATGTTTTAGAAGAGCCGCTCCTCGAAATTCATCAAAAAAGTGCAAAAATCACCTAAAATTTGCTCGAAAATGTCGATTTTGCCGACTCCAAAAATGCTATGAGGCTGGAATGAATTCGGAAAGTAAGTCTGGAAATTCTGAAATTTTGAAAAAAAAATTCCAAAAAAAATTTTTTTTCCAGATTTCCAATTTTGTCGGGATCTGATCGGAGCAAAAGCGGGCTCACAGAGAAAGTGATTTATAGAGTAAGGGGAACATTTTTTCTTTTATGTTGAAATTTTTTTCAGTCCATGGAACAATTTGTGGGTCGCCCACATTTCGTGCTAAGCTGTAATCCGGAAATTTTAATTTTGAAAAAAGATGTGATTGATTGTTGGCCGTTATTGGAAAAGGCCGCAGGACTTATAGACATGGTATTTTTTCAACTTTTTGAATGTTTGTATACCAGTCGGTTTACGCCCTTCCGGGGCTAAACCTCCTGGGTTCCACTTACAGTAGTCACCTTACAGAAAAGTGTTTTCCACTCTCGCTCAGGGACTATTTTTTTAAGGTGGGGGGACAGGAGATTTTTCGTAGTTTTTTTGTAGCTAGAGTATGCATTCTACCGTGACGGTGTACAACGCTTAATGTTACTCTGTGTACAGCTGTCGTCCTCGCCTTTATGTATGCAATCGGGCGTGCGCTTTCTCTTTGCCCGTGTAGCTCAGTCGGTAGCGGCGCCGCACCTTCAATCATCGCCCTCACAAGTTCAACTCCTCGAGGGGCATCTTTGAACGAAATTCGAGAACATTATTTTTTTAATGTCCCCCCACCTTTAAAGAAATAAACTCGGGAATTTGAAAATTTGAACATTCAGACTCTGAAGAATTTCAGAGTTTCAGAATTTCTGCGTTCGGAAGTTCAAAATTTCGGAAACCCGTTGTCAGAATCCCGGGTCCGGATTCCGGGATCCGGAATCTGGCATCCGGAATTCCGGAATCCGGACCTATGTATTCGGAATCTGAAATCCGGACCCAGGAGTCCTTACCATTCCATATCCGGGATCCGGACCCAGGAAACAAGACCCAGAAATCCAGGAATCGGGACCCAGGAATAATCCGGAATCCGGAATCCAGAAGTCCGGAACCTGATCCCTTCTCCGGTCCACTGATTCTTCCCTCCACTCTTCTTCCCTCTCTCTTCCTTTATAGTAATCTTATCTGAACAGTTTCTTTCGGAATCAATAATTTTGAGTCAACTAAATTGGATATGATAGAACTTCATGAGATTTATTTATTTATTTATTTATTGATTACGACCTTCCGTCGTGGAAAAAGAGAAAAAAGAGAAAAGGAATACAATACAATCACACAAAACACAGATACACGAATAACTAAACAACACATTCAAATAAAGTGGAGAACCGAATAGTAACACTATTTCCAAATAATAGCACATAACCATCAACACATACACGCATACAGAATAAAAATTATACCTGCAATAATGATTAACAGAAATAATAAATTATTTTATAAATTAGAGAGAGGGGGCCTTGGGTTCTCAATTAGACTCAGAGTGCGGTTGACAAAGAAATTTCGCCTTAGTTTAGATTTAGGAATGGGCCAGAGAAATCGTGTCTTTCTTCTAGTACGTGTTTCAGTTGACGCGAAAAATTCAGTTACGTTCAGACCTATTTTTTCCGATATCATTTTTGATACCTTTTTCCTGTCTATTGCTAAGCGTCTAGAGTGTAGTGAATTAAGACCAAAGAGTAGGTTGCGCTCGCTCGCAGATTTATATTTCTTATCGTTTGGGTTAACATATCTTCCTAGTTTACGACTATACAGTCTTCTAGTGAAAGAGTTTTGCACTGATTCTACTAATTTAATATCTGATAATTTGAAGGGACTACTGATTACCGTACCATATTCGAGCACAGGCCTTATGAAAACTTTGTATAAAAGAACCATTAATCGGGTGTTTTTACTATTAAATTGCTGGAAAACTGACACAAGATAAATTTAGCCTTGTTAGTTGCTTGTCTCCAGTGCTCAGAAAAATCCAGTTTTTCAGATACTAGAAATCCTAAGTCACGAGTTATTGTCTCTTTTTTAATAGACTGACCTTCAATAAAGTAGTTCATAGTTTTCTTGCATTTACCTACTGTAAGAGCAACGGTTTTACTTGCGTTAAGAGGGAGTTTGGATTTTTCAGACCAATTTTGTATTAAGTCTATGCTTTTTTGCAGCGGGTTGTCAGGATCATTTTCGTTAATCGAGGCATATAGTTTAGTATCATCTGCAAACTGTTTACAATGAACTTCGTGAGGGAGGAAAGACGATATTTCATTAACATAGATCCCAAAAAGAACTGGGGACAAAACTGCACCTTGCGTGACTCCGCAAATTGCTAGTTTTGAACCTGAAAGCGTGGTCCCCACCTTTACTCTATAATTACGACCAGAAAGAAAATCATCAAGCCACATTAACAAGTGAGCATTCAGGTTGAGTTTTAGTAGTTTGTTAGAGATCTACAAAACAATGCTATTTGGAAAACGGTATCTTGTCTATGAGCAAAGTTATAAGCCATAAAGTGGTAGAACCGGGCCCTGCCTGTTTGTTCGACCTGTTTCATCTGTGACTTTGTTCATGAACCAGATACAGTTTTTAGAAAATGTTCATTCTGTAGCACATATCAAGTTCTATCATATCTAATTTAGTTGACCCGACTTTATTGATTCTAAAAGAAACTATGACAGGGCCGCCCAAGCCCCGCCAAAGGCCCGATTTCCAAAGAATCTCTCAAAATGAACCGCATTCATATCAATTGCACACTCTTCCAATCTTGACTTCATCTGACTTTTTTCCAATTCATATTGCTCATTTATAATGTCTCTTACCACTTCCGGTCCACATCTTTGTGCAGCTGGACAACATCTACTCAGTGCAAAACACTTTTGAGTCAGTCTCACTCCAACAGGTGGCAGATGAGAAGGAAACTGGTCGGAAATCCGTTTCCATGTCAGAATGGCAAGATGGGCCCTGAAGTTAATAAATTGTGTGAAATTGACTCGTGGGTAACCAATTCACGTAGTTCTTTTGGCTCTTTTCTAGTTTAGAGGTCCCAAAAAAATTTAGAGGTCCGAAAAAAAATTAGAGATCCCAAAATAAAATAGAGGTCCCAAAAAAAATTAGAGGTCCCAAGAAAAAAAAGGGGTCCAAAATACGAAAAACGCGCAGATGTTGGAATAATGTACTAGTATTTGAACTGTGCGAGTAGTTTGAGTTTTAAGGTCTTATAGGATGACATGACTACTCCTAACAATTTTAGCTCCAATTCTCTCGCATCTTGCCGATGAACACAATTTACATATGAGGAAAATTTGGGCAATACAGTAATCACTCCGTGATTATGCTGTTTCTCAGGCTTATATAATTGTCAGAAAATATGCATTCCTAAGCCTATTAGAAGTATAAAATATATCATCAACAATTATTTTTCTATAAGACCTCAAAACTTTAAATTCTTACACAATTCAAATTTTAGTTCATTATTCCGGTATCTGTGCATTTTTAAGTTTTGGACCACTATTTTTTCTTGGGACCACTAAACTTTTTTGGGACCTCTATTTTATTTTGGGACCTCTAAACTAGAAAAGAGCCGTTATTTTCGTCTAGAATTAAAATTTTTAAAAGCTTTTTTTTTCATCACGTTTAAATGACACTAGAATTTTTACTTTTAAAATCTGTGAAGCTCTTTGAAAAGATGGCTACTTTGAACCTAATTATCTCGTTTCCTGTTTGAGTTATCAAGAAGTATTCAACTGAAGAATTGTTTCTGATATCAAGGCAAACATTTTTGCTTTTAGATTTTTCGAATATCCCTGACAGGAGTCGAGATATATTTGGTCAAAGTCTCAAAATGGATGCCATTTTTTGTCGATTTACTGCCCTTCAGGAATGAACCTCCTGTGCTCCGTTTACAGTACCCGTAATCTTAATCTTTCTGAATTTTTGAATTCCTGAATTTCTGAATCTCTTTTTTTTTTTGAAAAATTTCAAACTTTTGAACTTTTCAAATTCCAGAGTTTTAAAATGTCTTAAAACCATCTAATAACACTTTTTTAAAAAATTGGAAAATTTTTTTTTTCAATTTTCCAGGGCTCCGAAACCCCGCTATTTTCAAAAAATCGTCTAATGAAACTTGCTCTTGCCCTTCAACAATTTCAAGAAGCCCCTTCTAGTCAAGTTCGATTTGTGGAAAAAATGGGACAGAACGAAGTGATGTCATTTTTTGAAACGGACTTTTTGAGAGCCACCAAATGGTTCACCTATTTGGATGAGTTCCGATTTTTGGGAAAAGAGCAACAGGTGAGAAAATTTGTTTTAGTTAAATTTGTCTCAAATTCTGAATTTGAAAATATTTTAACTTTGTCGAATTCGGACAAAAACTGAAAAAGTTATGGTCATTCGAAAATTAGGTCGAAAATGTTGAAAATTTCAATTTTCCGAAATTTTCAACACCCCTAACTTCTTGAATTTTGGACCGATTCTTACGTTTTTAGATGAGTCAAAATAGTCTAAAAATTCTGAATCTGAAAATATAAATTTTATACAATTTGAATGAAAACTAAAAAAGTTATGGGTACTTGAAAATGGAGTAAAAACAGTTGAAAATTCGAAATTTCCGAAATTTCAAACTAGCCTAAAATCTGAAAATTCCAGAGGACCTAGGTGTGTTTGTATTCATTTGAACCGCTGAAAGTCGAAATTTTTGAAAATAACATTTTCTTAAAAATTGAAGCAAACCTGACCGAGTTACTGTAGTTTGAAAGTTGCAACAATTTTCCCAAAAAAAGTTTTTTTGGAAAATTTCTAAAAATCTCAAAATTTTCAAAATCCGGTCTTGTTAATATTCATTTTAATCGTTTTGATGAGATAAACTCAAAAATTATATTTATTTAAGATTTTTTCTATAATTTCAAAAAGTTATGAACCATCGAAAATTTTAAAAAAGATTTACTAAAAAAATTTTTTTCCCAAATTTTTTTTTGAAACCTAGTCATGTTTACACTCATTTTGAAGCCATTTTTGAGCTCAATCAAAAAAATAATGTTATATTTCATTTCCAGCAAGTTTTGGGCTTCAAAATGAGTATAAACATGACTATGTTTCCAAAAAAAAATTTTTTTTTCAAATTTTTTTTCAGATTCTCCTAATGCAAGGTGTCTGGCATGTGTGGGCACGTCTTCAAAAACTTCAAATGTCAGCAATCGGCAGAAGGCGTGGAATTTGTGACGACAATATGGTCATGGTTAGTCATCAGAACGAATTCGCAGTCTCTGATTTAAATAAAATCGAGGTGGATATGAGTTGGTGCTCGACTTATAGCAATGAGCAGATGAGATAGTGAGTTTTTGAATTTGAAAATTCGAAAATTGAATTTTAAGTGTTTAGAGCTTCAAAATGAATATAAACATGCCTAGTTTTCTGGAGTTTGAAGTTTTTAAAAAATTAGAAAAAAAATATTCCAAAAACAATTTTTTTTTGGAAACATGGTCATGTTTATATTCATTTTAAAGCCCAAAACTTGCTGAAAACGAAACACAACAAAATTTTTCTGATTTAACTTGAATATGGCTTTAAAATGAGTATAAATTTGACTAGGTTTCAAAGAAAAAATTTCAAAAATCCAAAAATTTCAAAAATTCGAATTTCTTCAAAACTAGTCATGTTTATACTCATTCTGAAGCTAAATTTGAAAATAATGTTCATTTTCAATTTTAGCAAATCCAGTGCTTCAAAATGAGTATAAACATGCCTAGTTTTCTGGAATTTGAAGTTTTTAAAAAATTAGAAAAAAATATTCCCAAAAACATTTTTTTTTGGAAACATGGTCATGTTTATACTCATTTTAAAGCCCAAAACTTGCTGAAAATGAAATATGACCTCATTTTTTTTGATCAAGCTTAAAAATCACTTCAAAATGAGTATAATATATCGACCTTTTTTGAGCTAGAACATGTCGCAAAACAATGGTTGAAGCATACTTGCGACCGGGTCTTCGCAGAATCTCTCATAGTTTCTCTTAGAATCAATTTTTTAAGATCAACTAAATTAGATATGATTGAACTTGACGAGTGCTACAAAATGATATAACTTTAAAAATTGTGTCTTGTCTATGGATAAAGTTACAGGCAAAAAACAGAGACCCGGGCCGACCCGGGCCGACGCGGCAAGGCCCGGCCACTTTATGACTTGTGACTTTGTTCATAGACGAGACACAGTTCTTTAAATAGTATCATTTTGTAGAACTCGTAGCGTTCTATCATATCCAATTTAGTTGATTTAAAAATATTGTTTCTGAAAGAAGCTATGGCAAGGCCCGCGAAGGGCCCGGCGAAGGCCCGGTCGCAAGTATGGGTTGAAATGAACCACAGTTGAAAGATGACTTCAAATTATGAGACATTTTTCAGTATTTTGGCTCAAAAAAGGTCGCAAAAACCATTAAAAAACTAATAAGAACTCATAGAGATTCAGTCCATTCCAGAAACTTCCAGAAAGTTCCAGAACATTCTAGAAAATTCCAGAAACTTCCAGAAAGTTCCTTCTTCTTGTTAAGAGTTGTTAAGAGTTCTTGTTAAGAGTCTTTTTTAGTGAGAGGCTTTCTTAGTAAGAATCTTTCTTAGTGAGAACCTTCCCTAATTACAACCTTCCCTAGTTAGTCCACATTTTTACCCATGCCCCCCCCCTTGTCATAAAGAGCCAAAAAATTTGATTTCAGCTTCCTGGACACCAGCCATGACAGTTATATTTATCAAGTGATGGATGAGATGTTAGCCCTTAAACCGAACGACGTGGAATTATCGTACATGATGTGCCAACTGTGCCTTCAGTATGCCGGTCAACGATTTCAAGGGGAAATTCTGGAATTTTGTGAACAAGTTTTGGGATTTTTGGCCAATGACCTACATAATTATTATGTCAAACAACTCAGAATGACTAATTATGCAGCAAGAGTGGCGAAATTGATGAAAATCAATAATAAAATAAGGGTGAGCATGGGAAATTCCAGAAAATTCCAGAAAAAATGAGCTGAAAATTACTTTTTCTGGAAAAAAATTTTTTTTTCAAAAATAATTTTCTACAGTAATTCTTTTTGAATTTAGATTTTTTCAAATTTTTTGAAAGGTGGAAATTTCGGACATTTTCAGATTTTCAGATTTTTGGATTTCTTTGAAATTCAGAAATTCAGAAATTCAGAAATCCAAAAATATGAAAATCTAAAATTCTAGAATTCAGAAATTCAGAAATTCAGAAATTCAGAAATCCAAAAATCTGAAAATCTAAAATTCTAGAATTCAGAAATTCAGAAATTCAGAAATTCCGAAACTCAGAAATTCAGAAATTCAGAAATTCTAAAATTCTAAAATTATAAAATTCAGAAATTCAGAAATTCAGAAATTCTAAAATTCTAAAATTCTAAAATTCAGAAATTCAGAAACTCAGAAACTCAGAAATTCAGAAATTCAGAAATTCAGAAATTCCGAAACTCAGAAACTCAGAAATTCAGAAATTCAGAAATTCTAAAATTCAGAAATTCAGAAATTCAGAAATTCAGAAATTCAGAAATTCCGAAACTCAGAAACTCAGAAATTCAGAAATTCAGAAATTCTAAAATTCTAAAATTCTAAAATTCTAAAATTCAGAAATTCAGAAATTCAGAAATTCAGAAATTCAGAAATTCAGAAATTCAGAAATTCAGAAATTCCGAAACTCAGAAACTCAGAAATTCAGAAATTCAGAAATTCTAAAATTCTAAAATTCAGAAATTCAGAAATTCAGAAATTCAGAAATTCAGAAATTCAGAAATTCAGAAATTCAGAAATTCAGAAATTCAGAAATTCAGAAATTCAGAAATTCAGAAATTCCGAAACTCAGAAACTCAGAAATTCAGAAATTCAGAAATTCTAAAATTCTAAAATTCTAAAATTCAGAAATTCAGAAATTCAGAAATTCAGAAATTCAGAAATTCAGAAATTCCGAAACTCAGAAACTCAGAAATTCAGAAATTCAGAAATTCTAAAATTCTAAAATTCAGAAATTCAGAAATTCAGAAATTCAGAAATTCAGAAATTCAGAAATTCAGAAATTCAGAAATTCAGAAATTCCGAAACTCAGAAACTCAGAAATTCAGAAATTCAGAAATTCTAAAATTCTAAAATTCTAAAATTCAGAAATTCAGAAATTCAGAAATTCAGAAGTTCCGAAACTCAGAAACTCAGAAATTCAGAAATTCAGAAATTCTAAAATTCTAAAATTCTAAAATTCAGAAATTCAGAAATTCAGAAATTCTAAAATTCTAAAATTCTAAAATTCAGAAATTCAGAAATTCAGAAATTCAGAAATTCAGAAATTCAGAAATTCAGAAATTCAGAAATTCAGAAATTCAGAAATTCAGAAATTCAGAAATTCAGAAATTCCGAAACTCAGAAACTCAGAAATTCAGAAATTCTAAAATTCTAAAATTCTAAAATTCTGAA